TTTCCCTTTATAATCCTCATTTTAAGTTGCTTATGACTTACCATCAAACTAACAACAACAATTTTCCTTGCTTTTTATCTGCCTCAGACAGGTTTCATGTTTGCATGTGCATGGATGTTGTGCATGGGCCAAAATATTTCCACTATCTAAGTCTCATCTAAATTACATGGTTTTTCCCATAAAAAACTAAAATTTCTAGTATCCACCCCTGCAAAGGGAAAACTTGAATATTTGTTTGCATGCTCCAGAAAAATTTACTCAGACTGCCACTAGAAAACTACTTTGCATTTACTAGCAGAAACTCTCCAAAGCATCAGGATCAAAATTCTACCTGCACTGCTAACACTTCACAGAACAATTTCTCTACCTGAAACTGATACTATGAGCTGCTGTGGCTGGGGTTATCACAAAGTACCAAACTTTAAAACAAAGTGAGTGCAAAACCAACGGGAAACTGACAGGACTGACAGCAACTGACTGGGACAACCAGGTAGGAGAAACTAGAGCAGGAGCCTAGTGGAAAAAAGAAAAAGATCTGGGATATGTGGCTAAATATGGAGCAGAAATGACCGGGAGGAGTCAGGAAGAAGAGTCATGCAAATCAGGGAAGGAGACTGGAACGGAGTGCTGGGAATGGAAGCTCTTGGTGAGAGCCTAAATTTAGAACCCTAAGAACAACCGGATTCTGGACACTTGCATATACTTTAGACAACATGCACATATTTATTATAACGAGGAAAGAATATGTGCAGCATCATGTTTTCTCATTAAAATCAGAGTTGGTGCTTGGACACTGAGGTGTGTGGCAACTGAATATCACTCGTGAATCATCCACTCATCACATGTGTGCTGATACACCAAATACAGATGTAAGGCAATCAGGAGTTAGATGATCTTCACTAGTATTTCTAACAAACACACCGTACATTTGTCGTTGTAAATACCCTGTGCTCAAAAAAAGCCAGTAATCAGTCCTAATGAGAGTATGTGCTTCTTTTTTTGATAGATCCAGGCAATCTGTGGGTCTGCAAAGTGTTGCTAGGAATTGCTAGGGTGAGCTGAGAGTAGAGGAATTTACTGTGCTGGAGTTGGAAGTTGCTGTTTTCCTCCACTATGCCACCGACAGGCGCAAAGCTTTCTTCTCACTCTCAATAAAATCATAATCAGCACCGCTCTCCCCACATGCACACAGCTTCTTGGATCAGGCCAAGGGTTACCTATGGAGACACGTGTCAACAGGGGGGAACTGTTGCATACAGTTAATTGTGGGGCTGTCAGCAGTGGTGTCAGTCTCTATATTGACTGCCTCTGTATAGATCAGGTCTGATGCTGGAGCGAGCTACATTTACGTGTCAGCCCTGTCCTAGCTCTTGGCTGGGATAGAGAGATTTGGAGGCAGGCAGCACAAAGACTAGCACTGCTGTGGGTTCTCAGTCATCTGGCAGCTTGCAGCAATCTCCATCCAGTGGGACTCAGTGTTTCAAAGCTTTGATGACTGAAACGGAGAGAAGTGATGAGATGGCAAAAATTTACTTTGTCAGGTTTCTGTAAGGAGCAATGGGGACTTAGAAAGGATCTTTACAAGCTCCCAAGAACTGTAACTCAACAGTATGCTCTTTCAATCCTATCCTTCACTTTAGCCATAAGCCCTCATAGCTCAAGAAAAGGGAACAAGGTCCAGCGAATGCCCCAACCATTCCTACTTTTCCAAGACTCCTATAGAAACGACTGCAATTTATGTTCAGAGCAAACTGGGCACTGCAACGACTTGCTAAGGTGGAGAACTGAAGCAGGGAGACGTAATGCATCTTGTCCAAGACCACCCTGAATGCCTTCAGCAGAGACAGAAATCAAGCTCAGATCACCTGGGTCTCAGTCCTGAGTTTCAACAATAAAGCACTCACTCTTCTTGCCTAGTGACAGTTCAGGATGGATTGGACAGTATCTACCATTCTGAAACACTGCAAGGCAGCATGCTGGGAACAACTGCTGTGAAAAGAGACAGGGGAGCGTCTCTGCATGCCACTGCCTGGATGGGTAAAGAGGAGGAAGAGCTGAAGAGATCTGAAATAACAGAAGCAGCATCCTACCACATCTTCTGCTTCCCTCATTGTCTGCTGGTTGCTCACTGACCTCCCCTCCTCCTGGAGGAATGCAGAGACTCACTGTGTTATTTTGGCATTTCAGGGACCATCTCTCCATGAGACTGCCTTGCTGTGCAATTTCTGCAATTTCTGCAGTAAGCAGAATTATTCCTGCAGACCCTACACACAGCTCCTCTTCCCACCAAGGGTCTAAAAACACATGTTTAAAACTACAGCTTATTCCTCTGTGCTGTGTACATACAGGATTTGGGCAACACACACTTCCAGTAATGGGGATTCACTACTGTCAAGGCCCAATGTGCAGTCTGTCAGTGACAAATTATGTCAATGAAACCACAAGTCCACCCTTACCTCCCTCTCCTACACAAACACAACTCGATTTGTTTTCTCCAGGTAGCCATCAGTGCTACAGAAAACCGTGAAGATCTAATGAGAAGCTCTCAGAAAACAATGACTCTGAGGTATGCAATGCAACATACTTCAGGCTATATGATTATCTTCGTGAGTCCAGTCAAAGCTCTGTGGTGACCTAAAGCCTACCCAAACTTTGGACTAAACTTAGCAGTTCACCTCTGACAGCAAAGAATTTTTGACTGCGTTCTAACCACTCTGCTGTACTGACAAGTCAGCTGCATCACACAGCTCAACCCCATATGATCCTCCCACTCTGACTGACAGAAATACCTGGAGACTCCTTGCGTGACTGTCAATGGAAATGTTACGGTTTCATCTCATTATCAGCGTTCACAGCACAGATAAAACCATTCTGGAAATTAACTTCTGGGTGCACGGAGGAGCATCTCATTTAAGCTCAGTATCTCAGCCATGATTCACTCTGTTTTGCTCTTTTTCATGCTGGCTGAAAGTATCAACTACAAGGGCAGGTAAAACTGTTGCCTTGAAAATCTCTGAGGTTGGTTACTGTGTGTGCTCCAAGGGAAAAGGAGTCATAACTGGATTGCCTTTCTTTGTGAACAGTATGGCATATTGTTATATATTCCTTCCTTCCTCCCTTCACCCCTCAGACCAGAGAGATCACAAGACACCAGTATCAGCCCTGCTGGGCTCCATGCCAGGAGAATTAATGAAGTGGTGTAATAGCTCACATGGAGGCCTAGTGATTGGCACCACACTTAAAATGCATCTGCAAGGCAGGAGATCATAGGGTTGCTGCTGTGTTCTGTTTATTACAGGCATGTCTCTTCCGTTCCATTGATTTCTTTATTAGCGCATTTTAAGGCTGCAATGTGGGGGTTTGCTCTGCTTGAGGCATGGAGGTTTGAATTCCAGCACATCTTATGGAAAAGAAGTCTATCTGAGACTGTAGACCTGGATGACAGAGGCCAGTGCTAAGAAAAACAGGAACCCTACTGAGAGGTTCCCGAGGAGTCTGAAAAATCCTACAGGGCAATGTGAGACTGGGTTGGTTTTTATACTTCCTCTTGTTTTTTTCATAGAAGGAAGGGGGAAAATTTTATCTAAAGAGTATCGAAGCTTTGTGGCAACAGCAGGGAGGACTTCATTTCCTAATCTAGAGGAGAGGTTTGAAGGCAGCTGCAAGCAGTAGATGTGCAGTCTCATAGCTCCTTGCTTTTCATTTGTGCTGTTAAGAGGTCAAATCTTGACTTGACACAGACAGGAACGAATGGGTGGGGCTCAGTGTACTCATCAACCAGCATTCGATCACATCATGAACTTCAAATAATTTTGCTATCCGTTATTCATGACTTAGAAAGCAGAGCCGTACAGCTCAGGACTGAGAGGCAGTGGCTGGGCTGTACAGGGAACCACGATGGCTCCACGTCTACCTTGAATTGCCTTGGCTCAGAGCACAGACTGAAAAAACATGGACTGTAACCAGCTGAGGACTGGGCTGGGCTGGAGTCATCAGATTCACACTGCCAAAGGCCAGGAAGAGTAGGTCTTTATGGGAGGAGGTGGAAATCTGCTGGTACTGGCTGCAACTCCAGTTGCTGAGCTCGCTGTTACAACAAATTCAGACACAGTTAAAAGCTGGTGTAGTGGTGCCAGGCTGCAGCAGCTTGATGCAGCTGCTGTCCTTGCCACAGCTCACTGCGGCAGCGCCCTGCACAGTCAACACAGCACGAAGTCATAGCTATTGGGAGGTGGGAGGTCGGGGGACATGGTCCAGTGGCGACCCTAGAAACGATGGTGATGAGAGGGCATTGCCCCTGGAGGGCACGTCCTGTCCCCAGCCGGGGACCCAGGCTTTGCTCAGCTGTTGGGCTTATCGCTGGCGGCCTTGCAAATTCCTAGCAAGCTCTTGTTGGCAACTGAACTGCCATGGAAATGTTTTTAGATTGCCCCTGCAATATTCCTCCAAGCAGTCCCCTTTGTATCCGCATTCATCCCCTGCTTTTAACTGCAAAGGACCCTGCTGCCTCCCCGTCAATCCTGCATGTGAGCCAAAATGAAGCAGTGTGAAGCATGAACAGGAAGAGCTGCAAGCAGGCAGCTTAATCAGGACATGCAAATTCCATTTCAGAACCCCTAGATTATTTTTTTTCCCACCCCCTAATATTTCTAAAGTGTTTCTTAAAACAGCCAACACTACTGCTTTCAGTTCCCAAAAACTACATGGCCAGTGAGAGCAAACACACACTAGCATATGCAGATGAATCCAAACCTGAAAGCCTTGATTTTTATGTCCATACATGACACCTACAAAGGCCTGCTTTTCACTGTGAAGACTTAAAAAATCTTTTCTTAGCTATCTTATACACTATTTGCATTATATCAATTTATTATCTTGCTGGGAAATAATGCATGGTATTACTATTAAAGTCTGCAGGTCTTTATTGAAACCCTTACTATAAACAACTTTGATGTCTGGAATCTATCACCAACTTTTGCAATATGTTCTGAGACACTCACCCACAACTGGTTTCTAACAAGCTGTCCCCAACCTGCAGCGATGCCATCCCAAAGTCTGCTATCCGGATGTTGTTCTTTTCATCCAGCAGTAGGTTTTCTGGTTTTAAGTCCCTGTGGCTGTAAAGAGAGGATAAAAATGTGAGTTAAATTATCCATGACAGCTTTCCCACTCCAAAACTTGTTCTTTATCCAGCATACCATTCAACCTATTATATTTTAATTGCTTTCATTTTCTTCTGTCCCAGGCAGGAAAACACACATATACAAGATCCAATCTTTGCAGTACTCTAGACTGTATCCCAAATGTCCACTCCTGATGAATGCAAGGCTTGAGCCTGCAGTGCCCTGACAGGAAATGAACAACTTCAACTTCCAGCGATACCAAGACAATCTGAGAGAGAGTCTGGGGGAAATAGGTAGAAGGAGAATTTCAGCTTGGATTTAGAGCTGATATACTCCATTACATAGAATCATAGAATGGTAAGGGTTGAAAGGGACCTTAAAGGTCATCTGGTTCCACCCCCCCTGCCATGAGCAGGGACATCTTCCACTAGACCAGGTTGCTCAGAGCTCCATCCAGCCTGGCCTTGAACAATTCCAGGAAGGGGGCAGCCACAGCTTCTCTGGGCAACCCGTGCCAGTGTTTCACCACCCTCATGGTGAAGAATTTCTTCCTAATATCTAATAGAAATCTGCCCTCTTTTAGTTTAAAGCCATTCCCCCTTGTCCTATCACGACACACCCTTGTGAAAAGTCCCTCTCCATCCTTCCTGTAGGCCCCTTCAGGTACTGGAAGGCTGCTCTAAGGCCCTTCTCTCCCAGCCTGTCCTCACAGGAGAGGTGCTCCAGCCCTCTGATCATCTTCACGGCCCTCCTCTGGACCTGCTCCAACACATCCGTGTCCTTATGGACACATCCATGTCCTCACATGGCAGCTCCTTAAGGCAGGAGGCAACACTATCAATATATTCTGTCAACAACAGGAAACAAAACGAGTGGTACCTGGAGAAAAAAAATCCTTGGTGTAAATGTTACTGCAAAAGTCCCCTATTAGGAGTTGTTTACATAGGCATATGGCTTTGAAATAATTTTAAGTAATGAGCTCTGATGGAGAAATCCCTTCAACCCAGCACTGCTTATAACTGAGTGTGCCAGCAGTGGGAAGAAGACAGAAGATTCCCTCCTTTCCATCAAAGCTTGATTCTCTTATTTGCCAACATGGGAAGAGTCAGGCAGCCACAATCTTCAGGATGGCAACTGTTGCTTTAAATCAAAGGTATCATATATTGACTAATTTATTAATCTTCATTACTCACAGCCAACACCACTGTGCACCCATGTCTGCTTCTCAGTACTCAAGTGCTTTTGTACAGCTACTACATTTACTTGATTTTATATCCAAAGACAAAAATCTTGCACGAAATTTGTGATGACTTTACTTTTTTTTCATTTGCAACTCTTCAAGAGTCACGGAGACGAGAGAAGCACTTTAGGCAGACTAAAGAAGCATCTCTTTTCTTGTTTTTGCTTATAAGCAGGCAAAATGAGTCTTTGATGTCTTGCTAATAAAAGGCCCAGATACAAGCACTCAAACCTTGCAGGCCAGCTTTGGTGCCCAGTCAGAACACAAACCTGTGGGATACGGCCAGCTGACAACACATGCGAGTGTCAGACAACAGCCATTTGCAAGACTGGTCCACTAAAACCAGCTACCCTGATCAGAAACTGAATTCAGCAAAAGAACCAGCCTTAGGATAGTCTAGTCCAGCGACACTCATAAAGGAAGGAGCTTTATCTTCGTACCATTTCCTCTTCACTTTTTAAGACATTCCTTTAGCACTCCTTACGCACACAAGTGTAATTCTACCTCTATACCACTGTAACGAAGGACATCTCTGCCCTCTCAGAGAAACATGAAAGGCATGACAATGTCTTGGAAATTATCTCCTCCGATCTGAAAAAAAGCCTGGAATGATCAGTTTGAGACAACTTGTAAATAATGCAGGTCAATTCCATTGAAAACTGCAGCACACTGTAACAAGACACTTGGGGAGCGTAACAGATATTTCCAAAGGAGACTTCCAGCAAAATAGTGAAATAGTACACATTCAAAGCAGGTACTGGTGATTTACCTTATCACTGAGTCCTATGATTCCTTCCTCCTCACTTTTTAAAGAACATAAAATTTGGTTTCCAATCTCCACGCTTGATCAATCCTGTGTGTTAAAGTGGCCTTGTTAACCACGGGCAAACAATCCAGTAGATAATGGAGTAGCACAATTCAGATTTGTGCATATTTTCATCTGACAAAGCAAAAGGTGCTTTATCAAATCTATCCTTCTCATAGAAACCAAAGTTTCAAGGTAACTGGAGGCAGAAGACTTATTAGCCATGTAATAACTATCAAGATAGTCATACCTTCTTGACAAAAAAGCAGGAGACGAGTGACAACGAAATGTTCCAGAGGCAGTGAATGACCAGTTGATGTCCATGAAAAAACCTCTGAAAAAGCCATCATCAAGAACAGCAGCTATGGACAAAGGCAAGATCATCAACATCTGCCAAATCCAAACATGCTCCAGCCCCAGCACTGAAATAGAGTGAAGAGCCCACAGCCCTAAGGCAAGCTAGGAAAGCTGGATGCTAATGAGACAGTAGTGTGAGATTTCATCTTTCCTCCAGCAGACAACCTGGACAGTTCTCATCTTACAACTGGTTTCATTAACAGGGTGCTGGGAAGACCTAACCCAACTGGGGAGATGCACTGAAGTTCCGCTAGTCTGATAACTAGGGCTCAGTGGCAAGTAACAGCTCCCTGCAAAATGAGCAGTGCTTGTTTGATGCTGTGAGACAAGAAACTTCCCCACAGCTCAAGCTGAGTGCGTGTCCTTCTACCGTGTGTGGCTTTTCAGCAGCTATGGTTGTTTTTCAGTCTTGGTGACTGGTCCTGGCTGACTGCCGAACAGATATATTGCGTAGAAGCTGAGGGTGCTGCTGCCCCTGCCTGTTCCACTGTTTGTGCACTGGCTGATATCATTCATACATGTTCAGTCTATGGCAGGCATATTGCTGACATGTGCCTTTTGTACCTAAAAACTGAAATTCTTTGCTTATCCAAAAACTGTGTATTTTTTTTAGAGAGCAGAGAACTTGAAGGAATGATCAAGGCACAGCATGACCTAAGCACAGGACTTCCACAAGCGTTTCTTCAGCCTGGATACATGCTCACTACAAAACATCTCGTGTTCTTTCAGGAAAACGGTGCAGCTAAAGGAAATGCAAAAATGTTCCCCTTCCATGCCTCAAAGCTACTAGCCTTAGCAGACCTGCCACAGGCCCTGGCTGGAGCAGAATATATGTGAATCTTGAACCAGCCCCGCCTCCAGACCACTGAGGAGCAGTGAAAGGGAGGGGACGGCACCTTTGAAACTGAGTACAGTATTCACTGGTGGAAAGGAGTCTCCTTCTCCCCATTTCATCCTGTCTTCCCATCAGTCGGGATCCACAATACAGACAGTCTTAGGCCTGGGTTTTAAGCGAGGATCAAGCAGCAAAATGAGGTTTCTAGAAAGTGGCATATATATTCAGGATTTTTTTGGAGAACGACTGCAAGAGGGGGAGGACAAGGGGGTGCCACCATCCACATTCCAAATGTGGAGTAAGCTTCACCTCACTGTGCTGTGCAACGCTTTTCCACGAATGATCAGCCTACATGGGCTGATGGTGGTCTTTGGGCAGAGGTTCTGACCCACCTCCCAGGAAGCATTTTGAAATCCTTAAGTTGGCACCTGGGGATTTTCAGGACTGGGACACTACATGTGAAAGGAAACCTGGAGTGGCAACAGACCTTAAAGCTTTTTTTTTTTTTTTTTCCTCTAGACACTCACCAAAATCAAACCAAGAAAAAGTATCAGCTCTTCACTGTAGCCCACTGAGTAGAGAGGAGAGTGTGGACTCTGTTGAGAATCATTACATTTATTGCCGACTGGGCCCCAAAATATAAGAACTGTCATATGGCAGTTTTGCATCTCTCTGACCCTACTCCATCTCTCTTTCTACACAGTCCCTAATGCCCAGTATGGATGGTTAGTATAGGAATTTCATGGTAGCCTGAGTATTTTTTTTTGTATTGTGGCAGCACTCCTCTCAGAGATCAGGGTGCCAGTGGGATTAGACAGTGCTTGCACATTCAACCACAAGAGAATTTTATGCCTCAATGAAAATTTTCTTCTAGCTGGAACATTCCTCTGCTATCCATCTTTGGACCACTTTGAATTTGCTGAGGCACCATCCTGAGGATAGAAGTCAGGCCAGCAGTCTGCACCAGAGTGGCAGAACCAGCATCACTGCCACTGGGAATGAGACTTCCTCTCTGCATTTGCATTTCCCATCTTTGTATTGCCAGCTTTTCAAATGCCAGAAGGAAGGGAGAGGAACATACGGGAATAGGGAAAGCTTGTTATAATTTACCTAAGAACCCAGCAGCCCGGACAGCCTCATGCATTCATATTTGGGAATAACTCTCTTGTGCCAGAATTAAATAAGCCCTCTCCCCCCTCAAATCCCACTGTATGTGGTAATTACTTGGCATTAATGGAACATTGCAGAGTAAATGCATCTAATTTGGTCCCATTCCAGCTGATCTCTCTGGCTCTCCATGTCTTGTATGACCACATCAACTCCTCTCTCTGCAGGTGAACAGAGGACTCGTTACCCTTTTGTTGTTCTAAAGGTGCTAAAGCTGTAGGGGCATTATCACATGGCTGGAAAATTGTAAGAGAAGAAAGCATCTTCTTTAGTGACAAACACGGCAAACTCTCCTCTTGAGCCCTGCATATGCTGAGAAAGAATACGAAAGAGAAATGCAGCACTGCAGAAGTCGTCAGTGTAACCCTGTTCCAGGGTGGCCACAGAATGCCCAGAGCTCCTCAGCCAAGACAATGGAGCAAGAAGTTAGCTGCATGACCTTGCATACGGCAGGCTTTTGAAGGGAGAGCGTGTGAGTGAAAGGGAGCCATTCAACAAGCCACGGCAGGGGAAGCACACATTGTCAGACTCTCCGCAACATCCCTCTTTTACAGATTACAACAAAGACTTTACAATTCCCTTGCAGCACA